TTTCCTGCGCGATTTACGCGGTGAAGGTCACTTAACTAGAAAGACGGTAAATTAACTAATAAATCAGCGAATACTTGTGGAAGAAATATGCGTGAAGCTTTGCTAATGAGAAAATTGCCTAATTCCAAATTGAAAGCTGGCCAGTGGGTCTTAGGAGACCTTACTTCTTCGCTAGTAAGTAAAGTCTTCCTTGCCCTTAACCCTTAACCTGAGACCTGACTCATGTCTTGTTCGTATTGTCTCTCTACCACTAAATAATCTTGTCAGCTCATAATTATCATCATATTGACACTAATGACAAGTAGACAATAACGTGAATAAGGAGACACAAAATCCTTTTCTTCCAGTCCCATATATACTAGACTATAGCTTCTAATGAACTGAAATAATCATGAAACCCCCTCCATGAGATGATTTAGTAACCTACACCGTATACATATAAACTATAGCTCATTTTCCCTCATAAATCACCCTCAGGTCCTTGATGTTCCGTCTCTATTATTGAAGCCAGACTTATGGGGTACCGCGGGTAGGGGGGGGGGGTCTGCGGAATGATTCTTTCACATATGAATAGTGTGATATTAAATTGGTTTGAGTGTCAATACGTGTTAATAAGCAGGTGAAATATTATACTATATTTATGAGAGAAAATGGTAGATATTAGCGCGGTAACTATTTTATTTTATTTTTTATCATGAGTATATTCTGTTGGAGCTTTTAATTTTATTAGATATGGCAAAGAAGGAGTGAATTAAAAAACAAAACTTAATGCCATCGCACTTTCTGGCAGAAAAGGAACGGATAGTATTACAGTGTATATGTCTTGGACGTCAAGAAATATACACTGTCTGATAAGGAAATATTAATGAGTATAACCAAGTATTCCCAAGCAGAGACGTTAGCAGGTTGTTTTGATATTCCTGATAATTATGACATACACCTACAATTATATTTATGTGAGTGTGTTTGTCTATAAACCCAACTAATGTAAGTAAGTTTGTTTATTCACAAAATGGATTGTGTTTACACCTTTTTTCCAACGGACTTATCCACACCTCACGGACCAGCAGAACAGCGAGGAGCCCTGAGCAGATTCTCTCTAGGTAAGACGAGACGTGATAGTTCTATTTATTTTTTCAAATGCCATATATCCTACACCAATGCCTACTAGAACTGCTCTGCCTTTTAGACAGGTTTAAAATGCATCTCTTGGGAACGTGACATTCAGTTGTCGGTGAGAGACAAATGTGGTGATTTAGAATATAGACATAAAATGAAGTTAAAGGAAAGAAAGAAAGAAAAAAACAGAAACGGCATACGAGTGCACAATCTCATCCAGGCAACAAACAAAAAGAAAACGAAAAAAATAGTATGCAA